CCCCAAAACCCCAAAACCCCAAAACCCCAAAACCCCAAATTTATCTATTTGTATTGAATCATATATGTAACAGTTTTAATAAGTATTACGTTCTGGTCGATGCTCTACTAAATCTCATGCGAGGTAAGATCCCACACAGGAAGACTCATGTCAGACTTATGACTATGTAGTTCAATATCAAGAAGAATCTTGAATTATAACTAATCTGTCCTACTATGGATAGTATTTTCAGGTTTGAGTAGACTAAAACGTAGTATCCAAGATATCTGTGAATCAGTCTTGCAATGTCAAGATAGTCTGCAGCATTCTCTCTTTTTGACTTGCTTAAAATTTTTGCAACGACTCCTGTGACTATCTGAGCAAGGATTATTAGGAATATTTCGTATCCGATAATAGTGTGTAGATTTACCAAGTTATGAGGTAATTTTCTCTTCGTCACAGAGCCTAAGAGGAGAACAAAATTAACAGCAGCAAAGGATATGATTCATAATGCTGTTCCCCGATGAAAAATTTGCTTTCATACGATATATTTATGATAAAATTGCCCTGAAATGAAAATGAACACAGAAAGCCAGCTCCATATAATGAAACTATAAAGTGCATGGGTATGAGCAGCCACTTCCTTGATCGATTTCTTTCTAAATGACTCTAGCTCTAGACTTCTGTGGAAGGAGTCTGAGTTAAAAGATATTGTCATATCATGCACATCCAGCACTCTATTATCAGTAAAGTACATCAGGTTAAGATTAGAGATAGGAAAATTTTTCCGGATCTTATTCTCTCCAAACTCCAATAGAAAACTAACTGAATAATGGAGCTCATTATCAACGAGGCCTTGGTTTTTAAGTTTGTATTTATTGACATCTCCGATCTCCTTGTTGCTTGTCATATTCTTAAGAGATAAGTCGCCATTTAAATTAACAGTTTCAAATCCTTCAAAGAAATTCTCCCCAGATAGATCTACTTGAATGCTAGTGTTTACCGGATGTACTAGATGAACCGAGAATATCTGCTCTTTGATCAATGAAATCTGCACTGAAATCGAGTCTGTTACTACAGTTTGGGTCTTAAATAGATTTACTTTCACAGAGGTTTGCTCTATCAGCGTGAAGAGGGACAGCAAGATTGTAAAGATGTTCATTTTTAAAAGATTTCAATAAAATTCTAAGGACCTGGGGTTTTGGGGTTTTGGGGTTTTGGGG